GCCTGATTCTTGACATTTATAACATGTTCGTTGGTCATTATTACATTCTTCTTGATGTATTTTATGACATATCAGTAAACTTTGACGTTGGACGATTCTGGTTTCCAACAAATCTAGGTCTACATAATTCAACTGTTATTGCTTTCCCTTTCCTTTTCTCCTTAGCTTTTCATTGTGGTTGATGATTGATATCCTGTTCCAGGATTTCTGCAGCATCAACTGCAGCTTGAAATGTAACCGGGTTTCTAAAAATTACAAACTTTCTGAGATTAGACTCCAAACCCCAAATATATTTCCTTACTTTGCTGCTTTCAGTAGCAACGTAGTCTTAGGCAACTCGAGATTGTTGCATGAATACCTCAGTGTACTGATGCATCGTCATGTTGCCCTACTCTAATAGAAGAAAATCATCTTCTAGCTTTTGGACCGCAACTTCAGGACAATAATGAACTTTAAATTTTGCTATAAATTCTTACCCACGACATTGTCTCCAAAATGTTCGGATCTGAACTCATCATGATTTCCCACCAATACAGTGCACTAGACCACTAATCTTGGCACAACAAATATTACTTTATCTTCTTTCACACTTTTACTAGTCTTTAAACTTAATTCGATTTCTTTAAGCCAACACATGGCTTTGACAAGATCACGTTCTCCAGAAAACTTAGGAATCTTGCATGCAAGAAATATTTTAACATCGCCTCCCTTCGGTAATAGATGAAGTAGGTGGTGTAGTTGTCACCGGTGTACTTGGCCCAAATTCTTCATAAGAATTTGGGTTCACCATTCCTTCTGCATTATACTGAGTGGAACGCCCTAACAGATTTACCAGATTGTCCTGAAATTTTTTTAGCTCAGCGGTTAACATTTCCTAAGTAATAAACCTAGGGTTATAAGCACGACCTTTGCCCCTTGTTCTACCTCTTCCACGACCTGATGTTGAACTTTCTTGTATTGACATTTCTCTTTTTGTATGAATTTTTTATTGAACACCTCTTCCTTGGCCCCGACCTCGATTCCTTGTTTCTACAGTTGTAGCAATTTATGGATTTATTTCAGTGTTCAAGTTTCCTCTTCCCCGACCTCTTATGTGGCCTGTAGAAGTTTTTCCAGCGATATTCCCTTCTTCAGAATTCACAGGTACATTCCTCCCTGAACAAATAGGATTATCTGCCATCTTACTTAAAACTTGTAACTCTTTATCTGCCACAATCAACATGTATACAATTAATCACATATTTTTGTATAATGATATGTTCATGTTCCAACAGGCACCTTAAACACATGATTACATTAGTCGTATGTAATCTACATCTACCATACTTGTCGTAACTTTAGGCCCAATTATAACACATTCCTAGGTTCAAAATCCTAGTGGAACCTTTATCACAAACTTAAAGTGTCTAGTTTAAGTCTAACTATAAGAAAAATACCTAGATCTTTTAAACTAAGGCTCTGATACCAAATGTAATAACCCACCTTGTACAAAAGTACTACCGAACATAATTCATGCTATAACATAAATCAGGTTCCAATATTTACAAACATTTTTAGTGTGTTCACAAAAAATTAATCCAAAAGTCTGAATTAACAAAAATATTGTCATAACAAAAACTTTCTTCTATGATTCTGTCACATCTTTCCTTTGCCTTTATCCTTTGATTATTGATGACCTGCAAAATATACTATTATTACAACAACTGATGGTTAGACCGAATGGTCTAGTGAGTGAATTTTCCTTCTTTAAATAAAATCTATTGTAATACTCTAATACAATTCATACTTGATTTTTAATGATAAATTATCAAACATCTATCGCAGTTACACCGCCGTTTCATCTATCGCGGTTACACCGCCATTTTATCTATCGCGGTTACACCACCGTTTCATCTATCGGTCAAAAACATCTTTATCGGACAACACTGTGAGCAATGAGGGTCATCTGAACAACACTTTGATCGACGAGGGTCCTTATCGGACGACACTTTGAGCGGTGAGGGTCCTTATGGGACAACACTGTGGGCGATGAGGGCCCAATCCAGACAAAACTGTGAGCGATGAAGGTCCAATCCGGTTAATACCTTGAACGATGAAGGGTCTTATCAGATGAAGCTTTGAGCGATGAAGGCTCAATCCGGATGAAGCTTTGAGTGATGAACTTTCATCACAGACTTAGTAAAATGATAACTAACATTATAACACAAGCAATTTTTATATGAAAGGTAATAACTCATAAATTATCAAAGCCAAGTAACACTGACCTTTAGAACGAAGACCTCACTGGAAGCTCTAATTCTTCTTTCTTTCAATCAAGTCTTTTGCCAGTGTTTCGTTTTTACTAAAACTAGTATCCAAAACTTTTTAGATTCTCCCTCCTTACTATTTATAGTAAGTGAAGTACTAAGGAGAATAAAAAAGGGGCTTGAGGTTATGCATGGGCATGCACCCCATATGCATCCACCACCTTTCAAAAACTTCATTGGACCAAAAATCCACATATATCAAGAAGGTGACTAGTATTTACTATTGGTTCCTCATTTCCCAACAAATGCTAAAACTTTATGTGATAACCGGGTCTTGGTTATTACCCAAGGTATTTATAATGTGAATTAATTGTTTATGTGGATACATGCTTACATGGGTTAATTACGTAAGTATGTGTATATCATGCATGGGATATATGCATATTATGTGGGTATATATAGATATATATGTTATATATATATATATGTATATACATAATATTAATATGTATGCATAAGTGTGCATGAGTTATATGTATGCATGATTTTTTTATATGCATGCATGTGGGGGTGAGAGTATAGCCGACATTCCATGTAGGGAAAGTATAAATATAAGGGATGAGTTATCAGACAAAGTTTTCTTGCGTCATTTAGAAATTTTGAGAGAATTAGAGAGAAGGTTGTCCTGTGATATTTTGACCACGCATTCATCTTCTTCAAATATGAGTTTTTGTCTTTAAGGTGAGTATTTCTAAAAATCTCTTTTAAAGCTTTGGATAATTGTTTTATAAAGAACTGCATATTGTCTTTAAAAAGAGTTGCGCGATTTAGGTCTTATTCGGATAAAAGGTGACCGGATTACTTTTAAACCGAACACGTGTTGTCCGATTTAACTGTAAACCGGATAAGTGTTGTGCAATTTTATGAGTTAGTGGAATCTTGAAATATATAAACCCGATAAAGGTTTTGAACGGAGAAGTATGAACATGACCAGACATTATGTGGTTTAAGCCTTAAATCGCTTGAGGGTCATACGGACTAATTGTAAATTGGACAAGTGTGTTGTCCGGATTACCTTAAACCAGACATGAGTTAACCGGTTTAGTTTTAAATCGATGAGGGGTCGTATGATTTAGTCTTAAAATCGACCAAGCATTATCCAGATTAGTATATCGGACAAAAGCTAAGTGTTGACCGGATTTATAAATCGGACAAAGACTTGTCCTGGTTGTTTATCCGGATAAGTTGTCCGGGTGACTTATATTTGATAAATTTTCAAGTATTAAAGCATAATCATTTATAGAATTTAATAATGTCTATTATTGGGTTTAATTATGTTATTGTAAAAAGGAGTATTTTATATCTTTTTAAATAAAAGATATGTTCCTACCAAGCGTGGTGACGAAAGTCTGTTTTGGTATGAAACTGGATTTTGGGAAATGTTCCTACCAAGCGTGGTGACGAAAGTCTGTTTTGGTATGAAACTATATTTTGGAAAACATTCATACCAAGCGTGGTGACGTAAGTCTGTTTTGGTATGGAATTGGATTTTGTGAACTGTTTCTACCAAGCATGGTGACATATGTCTGTTTTGGTATGAAACTTATTTTAAGAGGTAGTTCCCCCAGACGTGGTGACTTTTGTCTGTTCTGATAAGTAGCCCTGTTTTGATGGAAGAATAAGGGTGACATATTAAGGAGAGGTGTACTTGGAATAAGAGAGGCATTGTCATATATGGATAGTATTATAACTCTTATTATTGTTACTAATCGAATTTAATAACTTTGAGTCATCATTTATTTGTGACCTGATGAATTAGAGATATTATTTCTATTAGAAATAATAATTTAGATGTTATTGAGAAGGGAAAAATGGTTTGTCATAAAGGGCAAGTATTGCCTTAAATCTTTCAGTTAATATTTACAAAGGATTGGTCTGATGATTCAAAGAAGTTTTGGTTACAATATTTGTTTCATATTGGGAACGTTGGATCTTTAAGCAGATGTATTTTATAATTAGAACTGAGGTTCTTGAGTTTATCCTATTTTTCATGTCATTGAGGATTGCATTATTTGATTGTATTGCAAAATATTCCTGAGCGAAGATATTTTATTATAATTTGGTGTTTATCACCCTGCATTTGCAAAGAAGGGATTCACTCATTAGACCCTTCTGGTTTAACCCTCATTTTCTGTTTTAAAAATATGCGGTGCAGGAACTACGGGGTCCAGGGATAATAAGGGGAAAGGAAAAATATGATTATTTTCCTAACCTGATATCTGCTTTTGGAGATCTGCTTAAGATTACTTATTTTGGAGAATACATGTTGTTTACATGTGATAGTACAGGATTTTGTTTTGGAATTTTTCATATGTACATTTTGTACATATAAGAATCCTTGTACTAGTGGGACCATGTGATGTAAAAATGTATTTCTATGTAATGAAATATGTGTTAAATGCAAATGTGGTCTTTGGAGGTGTTATAGAAGTGGTATCAGAGCCTTAGTTTAAGAGATTTAGGTATTCAAAGCATAATGCCTAAACTTAAACTATAATTTGCATGTTAAGAGTCCCAGACATAATTAGTAATACTGGGAATAAAATATAATGGGTTAAAGAGGGCAGTATGTAAGGTGAATTCGAATTACAAATGGCCAATGTAATTATGAATTTACAGGTACATACCTATACTCGGATACCATATTATATTTGGGAATGTGAATACGTGATATTTAATACTAAATATCTGCAGATGTCTAGTCGATCACGAAGATCAGAGAGAACTGCCCGCCCTGCATCTGAAGAAAGGGATGAATCTCTTGTTAATCCTCCAACTTACGCTTCAAGGAGTAGAGGTCGTGGAAGGGGTAGAGGTAGAGGTAGAGGTCGAGGGAGGAGTCGGATTCCGGAAAGGAGTCAGGCTGAGATTCGCCCTGTTCAAGGGGAATCTATTTTTGGAAATGTACACCAGGAGCAGAGGCAGCAATCTGAGTTTATAACTAGAGATGTATTGGCAGAAGAAATAGGGAAATTTAGGAAAACTTTGATATCCATTATGGGATTACCAGCCAGAGTAGAAACTGAGCGAGTTGGAATCAATCCCCTAGCTCCCTCAGCAGGCCGCAATAACCGATGTTAGCTCTCATTTCTTTAAATGTAAAAGTATGGAAAAAGTAATACTGCAAGTGTTGACAGAAGATGATCTGTCACAGAAGAC